TTGGATTTTAGATTTCAACATCTAAAACTGAAATTAGATCCGTCATCCAACTCTCAAATTAGGTCTGATGAAATCCCCGAACTTTGGCGTGAAAGCACATTTGGCGGCGAGTGAGCAAGTAGAGCCAACGCGCCACCGATGCAAGTTAGACATCAAATGAGACCGAGAGTGTGGGGGCTAGGTTGAAAGTTGCAACGGGGGCATTAAATGCGGTTGCAGAAGCTGTTGGGAGAAAGCGTGTCTGTCATTAAATGCAAAGAAAGGTCTTGGCTTTGTCGACCCAAGGAATACGTGGAGGAAGCCAATGAAACGGAGCCACGTTCTGGAGGAAATTTCTCAGAGAAGAAAGCGGGCTGACAGAAACGGCGTTTCTGGATGATGATAAGGGATATGTATTGCCAGCTTTAGTCTGTATTTTTTGATGGCGATGAATTTGTTACAGGCTAAGCGTTAAATCCTTTCACTTTAGCACCGAGGAATATGGGGTTTGGACGTTTTAGTTGATATGATTGTGGTTCGTCTGCATGCAATTATGTCACTTGCAGTAACCCGAAACAGACTCTTCTGTGTCGTTTTTTTCAAGACCCCGAGTTGTTGTTTGTGGACTACAGGAACAGATTGAGTTTAACTGCCTTCTAAACACATGTTGTCATATTTTGTGTCTGAATTTGAGCCTGTTGGATGATGTTTTGGTTTTCAGCCATAGCCTGGAAACATAATAGCATCTCTCTTTCAGAACAAATTTCAACGGGTTTGTTGATTAGGTGGTGTTAACCAATAAAACGCTGCTCAGTGTCAAATCTTGCATGCACTTGTTGGTGTTCTCAAGTCCAATTAGGTGTTAAATCAACATCTATGAATCATATTATTTAATTTAAAAATTAGGGTAAAATACGCTAGTAATCATTGAACTTTAGGGTATTTTCATTTTGGTCCCCAAACATTTATAACTTGTATCACGGTTACTATACTCTTAATTAGCTCTCATTATCATCACTGCCATTAATTGCTATTAGAAAATGCTAACGTAGAATCTCCTTCCCCATTAACAATTTTTTTTATTAAGCTAAGGGGATTATAAAGTAATATCTGTTAAAAATATTCTCAACCATTTGATAATAAACGTTCAATCACCCTGCTGCAGTCGTTGGTGTCCGAATCCATGATCTTTTGAAACAACAACGATTCCTATAATCACTGAGATAAATTAGTTTGTACAGTAAGCCTCGAGTTAAAAATGAAAACCAATAAATATGATATAAAAGAAGAGGAAGAGAGGGGAAAAGGAATCAGAAGTAGTGAAGTGTAGTATTTTGTCATTTGGGAAGATCTTTTTCTGTAACGTATATTCCTTTTTACTCTTTACGACATACAAACGTTATAGTTCCATGCATGCACGTACAGGAGGAAGACGCGTGAGAATCAGCATTACGTGTATACAGGTAAGGTGGGCGAGGACGAAGGTAAAAGTCAAGAAAATGAAGTCTCATACTAAATGATCATATTATATCAAATTATTAAAGTTTGATATAAACATATTATAAGGTCTATTCGAAAGAAGGAAATATCAGTTGGCCTTTATGGCTTGTGAGAGGAGCAGCATTTTTGGACTTTCTATTTCACATGCTTGTGGGTTCCGCCCTATCCTTAAGTCAAACCCATCTTACGCTTCAACATGAAATGTATATATATGGTGTGTATCTTTTCTTCAAATTTTAAAATTAAATAATTTAGATTTAGACAAAAAGATATGAACGGTGCTTATGTTTTTAAGAAAAACTTTAGTGATCATTTTATTTTTTTTATTGATGTGGTCTTTTAACACATATTTTCAGTTTATTTATTTTTTCTTCATAGGCAGTGTGAGCCATTAGACTAAAATTTTCATTTTTCTTCTTCTTCTTCTTCTTCTTCTTATGAAACCATTTAATGCTTCGAGCACTACAGCTTTGGGGTTTGATATTCAATAAATATGAAAAGATGAGGTTGGTAATTGCATTAAATAGCAGCCGCAATGAAAGGTCAAGTTTGCTTCGCCTTCACACCCTTAGTTTCCTTTTTCTTTTGCAAATAAATGAGTCAGTCAAATCATCATAATAGTAAAAATGACTTTTAAAATAATAATACTTAGAAATGTAACTTATTGCTAACAATGACCATCTTCTTAGCCCACATTTGATAAATCCATGTACTTTAGGAAAAAAAAATCAAAGTGATCTTTTTATTTTCTCTCTCTCAACATAGTCTTTTAATTCAAAAACAAATTTAATAGGGTTCTTTTACCAATATTTTTCGTTGTTTGACCGTTACGGTGCTGACGTGTCCGTCCATCTTTCATGTTATTCATCATATTATTAACCACTCGTGGACTATCATGTCAGTACCGTAACGGTCAACGATGAAAAAAATTGATCAAAAGATTATTGAGCTTATTTTAGGAGTTAGAAAACTACATTAAGAGAAAAAAATACGTTGACTATGTTAATTTCTTTTGAAAATTACATATACCTCTGGTAGGGATGTGCAAATCCAAGTACTCGAATATCCATATTTTTTTAAATTATTAAATAAATAAAAAAACACAGAAAAATACATGCAAATAATTTAAATCAACAAAGCTCTATCTCATACTATTATAACACAAACTGGATATACTTTTTTTGATGGCTCAACGCACCTAAGAAGATTATAAATAATAGTTAGAAAAAGAATGTGCTAGTTGGCTACAATTTTAATCAAGAATGTATTTTTCTTCCAGTAGTTTTACATCTTCTTCCGGCTGAAGCAACTCCTAAAATTTTTAATCAAGAACGTAACAGTATCAATAGCAATGGATAATGAACAATGCCAAAGTATGTGAAAACTCCATTAGATGGCTATTTTAACATCCCCTAAAACAATGCTCACTATTTAACTTCAACTCTTTACTAAGAAACAACAAAAGGAAATGCCACAAGTTAATATCATGTACCTTACATGTACCAAAAAAGAGAACCAGTTTACCAGAATAAACGAGTGTAACAGAAAAGCAATGTACAGAGTCTGAAGAATAACATAATCAAATGCCATAATCGGGTACCCGGAAAAATTAATTTTTGTGACCCGGGCCCGACCTGAAAAATGTCGGGCCGGGTACCCGACCCGGCCGAGTATTTTTTTAATAAAATTACCCGATTTTTTTATCCGGATCGACGGATCGGGTCAACCGGGTCAGGTAATTTTGCACACCCCTAACCTCTGGTGTCCTTTTATCTTTATTAAACTAAAAAGAAAACACATAAACAATGAATAATTGGCTCTTCTTGCTAATAGTTTCGGACTTGGAGCATTGGGTGAACCCAATCACTTTTCTTAAAACTGGACCGACATGCCTAACACCATGATGTGTGATCCATAAGCGATATTCAGCCCTAGTAAGCAATATTTTCTAGGGTAAAGTACGCATTTAGACTTAAACTATTAGTTTTAGTCTCTTTTAGTATCTAAATTTTATTTTTTTAAAATCATACTTAATGTTTAGTTTTCATTTCATTTTAATACCCGCAGTTAAAACTCAATGCGTTTAATACCTATACTATCAGTTTTTGTTCATTTCAATACCTAGACTTTCAATTTTTTCAAAACTTAACATTAAATTTTGAATTGGTATTAAAATGAAATAAAAACTAAATGTTTTAACAACGGGTACTAAAATGAAATAAAAAAATTAAACTTCAGGTATGTTTTTGAAAAAAAAATAAAAGTTTAAGTATTAAAACATATCAAAACTGATAGTTTAAATACTACATGCGTAATTTTTCCATTTTACTAACAGTTGTTTTAAAGGCAAGGAAATATCCCATGATGGATCCTGTTTCTAGATAACCGGCTCTTATTTCAAAGGAAGATGGGGAGAAAGAAGAGAGAAGGAGAGCCGATATTTCACCATCGTCAACGTACTAAAATCTATCAAATTTATTAATACGGCGGCTTCCGTGGAAAATTTGGCGACCGGCAGCTTGACTTTTTAAAAACATGTTGGAATTAGCCTCATTAGATTTGGTCTTCTGTAACATATATTATGTATTCCTTTTCCTTATTGTTTATTTGTCTTTGTATATATATATAATATGAATTGTGTGTTGATGGTTGAATTATATATATAACAAATGAGTGTACATATATATTTACTTTAGGATAAAGTATACAAATTGTCCCCGATTACAAGATATTTTTTTTGAGTTCTTTGACTATTAAAAGTTATAAAATGATCCTTTGACTATATAGGGAGTTATTTTATTGAATTCGTAGACTATTAAATGTTATAAAATAGTCACTCAACTATTCATTATGTTGAAAACTCATCATTTTCTGTTAAAAATCATGTTTAAAAATTAACGGTCGTCTGAGCTGAACGTTAACATGTTGACTGAGATATGACAATCAGAAGGTTAACGTACAACTCAGACCGCCGTCAAAATTTTAACGGAAAATGACGATTTTGGAACATAATGAATAGTCGAGGGACCATTTTGTAACTTTTAATAGTCGAGAGACTTAATAAAGTATTATCCTATAATCAGGGGACCATTTTGTATCTTTTAATAGTTAATGAACTCAATAAAGCATTATCCTATAGTCGGAGGATCATTTGTGTATTTTACTCTTTACTTTATGATACTCATATTTATGTCCTTAGAAAATAAGAAATAAAAAAATAATTATTAAATAATAATTTAATTATTTATTTATAAAAAAATGTAATAAATATGTCAACAAGTGTCGGATACTATGATAACACATAAAATCGTTGCTATTTATAAATGCATTTTTTTCCTTTTACAATTTTTGCTTCAATCTAACACAAAATAATCGTGATTATGTTTAAGTAATAAACAATTTGATTTTATTTTAGTAGGTTTCGAATTTGAGTTCTTATAAATATAAAAAAATTTATTACAATGAGTTTTATCTGAAATGAGTTAAGTTAAAACTTTGAAATCGAAAAGAAAAAAACCAAATCATCTAAAAAAAGCATTAGATGGATAAGCATTCCATATTGGAATCCCAGCAACGACAGCAAAATCTCTTCGTCCATCAATGGGAATTCCCAGTCCAATACTCCCAGCTGAAGCAGCAGCAGCCTGAGAAGAACAATCATGAAAAGTCTCTTTTAATCTCAAACAAACATTAATGATCCCATTCTTCAACCCCTTGGGATCCCATAACCGATAACTCAAATACTGCAAACAAGTCTCCGGCCAGTACCCTCCGATGAAATCCGTCACCGGAATTCTCGCAAACCCCACGGTTTTTTCCCCTCCCGAAGAGCCCCTGCGACGCCTGACTTGTAGGGTAATGAAGCGTGTTTGCATTGGTATTTCCATCACCAGTTTGTCGTTCCACGTGGGGTAGCTCCCTCCTTCTCTGTCGATCTTCGTCCCCTTGTTGTTGAAAGCGTCGATCGAGACGACGACGAAGGCGTTCTTCTTGACCGGTTTGTTGTCGATCCTCAGGTCTTCTGCTGACAATATTGTGATCTCCAGAGTGCGAGACTTGGTCTCCATTGTAAAAGAATAATAAAATAAAAAGCTGAATAAAACAAGGATTCAGGGTATGTATTGGGTTTCAATGGAAATTCGAGAGGTTAAAAAGAGTTTATACAGATACAGGAAGTTTGTAAGAAAGACAGTGGAAGGAGAGAGGTTGGTTCACGTTAAGACTGGAAACCTAATTCAAACTATATATATAATTGGGTAAACTACATTAGTACCTAAACTATCAATTTTAATATTTTTTGGCACCTAAACTTTCAATTTTTTCATAATCATACTAAAGTTTATTTTTTTTTGTTTATTTTATTATCCGCCATTAAAAACTTTAGTTTTTGTTTCATTTTAGTACCCCGTTCAAAATTTAACATTAAGTTTTGAAAAAAATGAATATTTAGGTACTAAACGTGTTAAGTTTTTAATGGTGGTGGTATTAAAATGAAATTAAAATTAAACATGTATGATTTTGAAAAAAAATGAAAGTTTAGGTTCTAAAGGTGTAGTTTATCCTATATAATAAAGGGTTAATTTCCTCATACACCTCCAATCAATATCTCAAAATTTAAATTTATCCTTAAATTTTAAATATTTTTAAACAAATCTTCTAATATTTTTCTACCAACCTAGTTGTAAGCTTAAGGTATTAATACTAGCATATAGTATTTTTCTTTTAAATGTAATGATTAAATTTTAAATATTTGTATAATTATCCTATAAATAGTTTTAATTTGATATATTAAAAAATATTTCTTAAATTTTAATAATATTATTTCCTAATCTATTGAGTTATTTATGTAATATAAAAATATGTTTAGAATTTTATTTGTATTGGATTTAGAATGATGTTCAATGTTGAAATTGACATCAACACTAATATAATTAATGACATAATTTTTTTAATTAGTCTAAGTACAAGGTATTATCGGTTCAAATATAGCTTTCAACCATTTAACATTGAATGCTCACACTTCTGGTATCTAATGTGTTGGAAATTGGGTCCTCAATAAATAACAACAATTTTTTACTATAGAGATCACTTGGTTCATACAACGTAAATTAAAAATTAAAGAATCAACAATTTAATTAATATTTAATACGAACAAAGACAAATGTACCTATTTTAAACCTAAACGACTCTCTCACTCCTCTCTCTGTCCTCTTTCATTTCTGTATTATTTGTGTCATTTTTATAGATCAAATCGAATTTTTTTTCTTTGATTTTGTTTACCCGGGGCTAGTACTAGTTTTGATGCTGATTGCTGACTGTCGGTTGTCTTTTCTATTTATTTTGTATTTTTTTTTTTCATAAGAATAATTCTTTTTTTGTGACACATTCATCTATGCCTTTATGACACATTTATCTTTGTCTTTATGAAACGTTTTTCTTTGCCTTTTGGTAGTTTTTGGTTGCTTAGCTGTTATTTTCATTTATATTTTTTTCTCAGGGTTGGGTTTGACATCGCTACAACTGATCAAGACGACACTTATTTGTTATCATGTTGATCTTCCCTACTTTGGACCCTTATATTGATTTGGATATGCATTTTATGTTCGTGGATAGTTATCTCACGTCATTTGACTCTGACTTGCGATTTTAATGGTCTTTCAATAGTTTTATCTCCTTTTGTTGTTCGTTTTTTGTTGCAGTCAAATTTATTTGTATCTTTATTTTGCTCGAACATTTTAGTTAGGTTTTTTAACCTTTTACTTTTTTTTGTGCTTATGTGGTCTCAGTGGCTAATTTTTGTGTAAATGGTTATAAGAAAATATCATAATTATAATTTAGTTTATGTTTATTGTCATACTTGTAAATTTTCATTGTAATTTTAGATTTTTCTATTTTTAATAAAACTAATGCTTTTTATATAAAAAAAATAAATCTAAATGACTAAACTCAAGTAGATGGTGGGATTTTTGACAAAAAAATCACCCTATTAAAAAATACTACTTATGAAACACCCTTACCTAACTATTTCCCTATCTAATATATTTTTCTCATGAGAGAGAAGGAGGCGCATTGCAAGATATGCGCCTTAGCTGAGGGGAGGGAAGGCGCATCGCATGAAACACTCATTCCATGGGTTTTATCAATGGCGTGTCTTAGGAAACATGCCTCATTTGAATGACACGTCATAGGGAACACACCTCCCATACCCGAGGTTTTAGGCTTAGGATTTCATGTTAAAGTGATTTTAGGATTTTGTATTTGATTTTAGGGTTTTTAGTGATTTATGGTGTTATATTTGTATGGTTTAGGGTTTTTAAAGATGTTTAATGTTAAAATTGATTGTATATTAGAATGTTTGTGTTTTTAAAGTAGGGTTTAGAGTTAAAGTTGATTGTATGTTAGATTGTAAGAAATAAATGTTAAACATTTAATTAAAAAAATATAGATATACGAAAAGGTCATCTTGTAAAATAAACAAGCCGAAATCAAATTAATTGAAATTAAAAGAAAATGAAATAATCTAAGTTGAAATATTAGAAAATATGATTACATGAATGGTGGTCAACGATTACGTGATGATGAAAGAGGTGAACATTTTCTCCTATTGTGGCCAGAGTTTCTGCAATGGCCATATTTTATGTTTTGTCTTGACGTCTCTCGAATATCCATATCATAATAAATTCGAGTGAATTTTAGACAACATGGCTCCTTTAATAAGTCCAGATCTGGTATAAGTGGAGGCTAAGTGTGAACCTTATTTGAGTATTTATCATTACCTATGGGGGAAACTCATATTCATATACATTGAATACTTTTGAAAGTTGGTATACGGGATATACATAATGCTTATAGTCTTGACGAGAAAATGAGCAAGCTGCTATGACATGGGAGCATGAATATTTCAAAGCTTGAAAAAAGCCACAGTCACAACATCTATCTTGTAGATTAACTCTGAAAGATTCAATCCCTTGCAGAGGTTGTGACATTTCTGTGACGTGAAATAATTCTTGGGTGCAAGAAAAACTTATTAAGGACATGTTTAATTTTGCAAACTTTAGCTGCAGGTTTGCTACTAATTGTGGGTGATAAACATGACCGTTTTGTATCCAAGTAAGAGTTTGTCCCCCGAGCTTTGAAAAAAGTTGACCCAAATGAAAATACGTTGTTTTAGCTAAAATAGTTACTGGTAAATGACGAGTTCCCTTTAAGGTTGAATTGATTACCTTAGCCAAGTTGGTTGTCATAAGTCCATATCGATATCCACCATTATATGTGTTTGTCCACTTTTCTTTGTTAATTTCACTGATATAATGGTATCCATGTTTATATTTTTTCTCATAATTCTTGAAACATAATCTCAAACGTTTGAGGTGAGAGTTTGTAACCTAATCGAAATGAAGTAGTTAGTATAAAAATGAGTGAGAAATGAAATTGAGAAAAATGTAACATACTCATACGTATAATTAATTGTCGTTCATCATTATTCTTATATATGCCATGATAGTTTGTAGTAACATGTCAGATACATAGACTATGTTGGACGTGTGGGGGTTTCCACATTGGACCCAAAGAGTCCATTGTTGCTTTGATGTCAGCTCCTTAGTCAGAAATGATACAAATACGTTCCCTCGTGATAACATGTAACCGTAGATATCTCAGGAAAAAAATCCAAGACTCTGTATCTTCTCCTTTAACAAGGTTAAAGGCAACGAGAAGAATATTACGATTACCATCTTGGATAAATGATAATAATAAAACTTGTTTGTATTTTCCATACAAGAATGTACCATCAATTTGGACAACGAGTTTATAGTATTTCACTGTATTAATGCATTGTGGGTAAGTCCAAAAAACCCATTGGAATTGACATCGATCTCGAAGAACCCGATCATTATGGTAGATATGGCGAGTTTCACACACAACTACTGTCCCATTATTCAGCCATTGAACCAGGTTAAACCAACTGGTAGTTCGTTGTAAGATGAATCACATTCGTTGTGTAGTTTTATAATGGCATTCTATTTTGCCTTTCATGCTTTTTTTATAAGATACGGTGTACCCATATTGAGATTGTATTGCAGAAATCAACAGTATGTGGAAGCTTGCTCTAACCAAAGGCATGATGGCTTGGCAAATCACGTTAGAGTCCAAGTTTGGATGGTTCTGGTTGATCCCATGTGCACAACATATATGAGGCCCATTGTATTTTGTTAGTTCTCATCTTTCGGTCTTATTCTTCTTTAAAACAAGAACTATCCAATTGCGGACATTATCATGTTGAACACAATAACATACATATTTTTCGATGGTAGATCGATCGTGGATTGAACTGAATTATGAATGTTGTAATTATTAATTGTCATAATTATTTCTTATTTATATGTGAAATCCATCCCGTGATATAAATCATCATCATTAACTGATGAATGCCTCCCATAGTCTCCAAGATGAGGTATATAGAGAAATTATAGCTCATACATCGCATCATAGTCAACTTTATACATGTGTATTGGAGGTTCGTATTGTACCATATTTGTAGGAACTTCATCCGCATCATCATTAGAGTCCATGTTGAATTGTGGTGACTAGGGTTCAAGGAATAATCCAGTTTCAACACCATCTGCTATTGGCCCACAAAAAATTTTTTCTGGAGGAGATGAGGGTTTATCTGTGACTCCGATGTTTAGTTCGAACAAGTTCGCATATGAATGCATTCCTCCAGAACTTGAAGTGATGTCACCATATGAGTTATGAATTGAGTGTTATGTGGAAGACATTGCCATATCGAGGTCAAATGTGATGGCAGATGAATGTCTCCCCTGGAACTGGAAGACATCTCCATATGGAGGTCGGAAAAATGGCAAATGAATGCCTTCCCTTGGAACTTGATGGTATGCTAACAAAAGGTGGGTTAGCTATTAATGATGTGAAATCATTACAGATTGTTTGAGTTGGACTATTAACTTGATTAATTGGTTCATGCAAGCTATAGTGGAAGGATAATGACATACCCTGAACTGAAAACAAGTCAACAAAAGTGGCATACATTTATATAGTATAGTTTGAATTTTGACTGAAAGAATCAACCATCTTAATAACATCGTTGTCATTTGAGAGATTGAACGATGTATATGTTAACAGAAAAATTTAAGTTAGA